CACAGCAGATGTTTGGGATTTACTGAGATATTTTGTCCCAGAGGTAACATGAATAAGCCTGATTATAAAAACAAATAGAATAAAACAAGAAATCCCAAGTTTCAGTTTATACAAGATCGAAAACCTTGTTTAGAAAAACTATTATAACGAATTGTTTTCTGTTCAAATATCAAGGTGTATTCATTTAACACTTACTAATAAATGTTATGGACAAGGCCCTGCTTGGACTTCCTAACAATTCTGGTAGGTGTTACAGCTATTTCACATAAGGTGAAACTGAAGAGAACACAGGTCAAGTGACGTGTCTGAAAGTGATGTCACAAAATGTGGCAAAGAGAAAAAAACCCACCCAGGTTTCTCTGGTATTACTTCCATAAAGTCCAAAACAAGTCGGGTTTCTGCACCTAGGAATCTGAATTCATTTGCATGACAGAATAATATAGCTAAAATACTCAAGGTAAACTAACAACACTCACAAAAATTAGTTTTGCTAATAAGCTTGACGAATCAATGATACGAAGTCTCACAAGACAAGCTGTTCAAGCAAAGTATTCAAGTCCTTCATCTTTTGTGGTTCAAATGCAACTGGTGGCAATCACACATGAAAGCAAAATTCTCCTTTCACCTTCAGACATGGAAAGAGCTGCTATGCACAATCTTGTTTTCTACACGGAAAAATAAATTATGGGTAATAGTTCGCACACATTAAGTCTCTCTCTCTCTCTCTCACACACACACACACATACACACACACACACCGAGTTTGGGGTAAATCTGGCTTTCTACACATCCATTTTGCTTACCTCTGCTAGCTTCTAAGTATGCTATTTGATTATTTCATAATATCCATAATTTTAACTTAATACTTGAAACAATCCGTGGAAGGATTTTCATTAATACTTAAAGCTGAGAAAGCCAAAATACAGAAGGACAAAACTTCTTCCAAAATGGCAGAATTTGGGAGGAACTAAGAAAATTTTAATGAAACTATTTTACTTTAACTCTTGCATTGACAGACCATAGATCCATTACATAAATACAAAAATGCTCCAATAAAATTGGCACTGTAAGTTAAGATTCTATACTCAGATTAAAGTCTAACTTTATTATTTATTTTAAAGAATATTTAACACATGGTACACTAGAACTCATGCAAAAATGAGTCATATTACAAAAGGCCCTAATAAATGACAAAGCACACAAAATAAAGACAAAATGTTTTAGTAACAAGTGGTCTAGGAAAAAAGCAAGAGAAGCACTATCTGTATAGGAGTCAAAGGACTGTAAGGTGGATTTAGCAAATTTAAGATGTTTTACTAAGACTGGTGTTTGGGAAGAGGAAAATAAATTGTGCATTAAAAGCTCTAAAGATCTGCTCCAAAGAAACAGAAGTTCACTAGAAAGATCTTTGTAGCGACAATTTGCCTAAACTGTGGGGCTGAAACTCATCTTCCCAAAATCTTTAATCTACATAAATTTACCATACAAGGGAGACTGCTTTTGGGGTTTTCAAAGTATCACTCATGGGTAACTGGGACTGTCAACAAGATAGACCAAGTCTTAAGCAATCTCTTTTTCTGGTTGTTACGAAGCATTTATGAAACTAATAAAACTACATTCATTAAAAAATATGATCCAGAATATTTAATAATTCAGATTAGCATTTCCTATTGAGGAAATCAATGAGATTTTGTTTTTCTTTTCTGAAGGGAAAATGAACTCTTCTTTGAATGTTTCCTTGTAACGGTTTCCAGTACGACTCAAGAAATAATAGTTCCTCAGGAATTCTCTAGGAATAAGGTTAAGAGATTACTGTGCCTTCTTAGTTTAACAAAGAAATGCATTTAAATTCTGGTGGCTCAGTTGGTTAAGCGACTGCCTTCGGCTCAGGTCATGATCCTGGAGTCCCGGGATCAAGTCCCGCGTCGGGCTCCCTGCTCAGCGGGGAGTCTGCTTCTCCCTCTTCCCTCTCGTGCTCTCTCTCATTCTCTCTCTCAAATAAATAAATAAAATCTTTAAAAAAAATGTATTAACATATCCCTAATTTATTTGACACTTTGGTTATCTGATAAACATACGAGATATGCTACAAAACTTCAGGCCACAGGAGCCTGCAAAGCCCAAACAAAACTTTACCCAACTGTGAATTATCACAGTTTTAAGTACACTTCTTCACGAAAGCAGTAAAACAAATCAGCACTCTTGCTACCTGCTTCTCAAGCTGACCACAAAATATATTTCAATAAATCCATGCATAAGTTCACATAAGCAATTAGAAAGGACGTGTTTTGTTGAAAGAACACTTAGTTCACAGTGAAATGTTTCATCGCAAATACACTTCCCGTGTTCGGAATCTAAGCTCCTCTACACAACCTGTATGCCTTAAATTCTACTCTTTCCCCTCCACTCCCTGCACAAAGTGATGGCATTCAACACCGTTCATGATATATCTGTAGTTTTCTAGATGTAAAGGCATTTGCTGTAAGAGAAACAGCCCTCAGGGGTCAATCTCACATCCCACAGAAGGCTCTCACATTCTAGTTTAAGAAACACTCATCTAGAGGGCTTCCAACAGAGTAAAACCCAAATCAACATAACCTATGCATTATACATAAAAATACTATTACTGTCAAAAATGTATTCTGTCAAGAATTTTACTGGCAGCATTTAAAAAAACAAGAAATCATTAGACCATAGAAGACATTGTCATGCAGATCAGCACATGACAAAACATCACTTTTTATCTCCCATTCAGGTAAAACTGTGGTAGCTGTTTAGGGACAACACCTTGTGACTTGAATCCCTGGCAATTTCCTGCAGAAACCAGGTCTTGTCAAAAAGCACTGGCTTCAAGGGGGCAGGGGATGAGCTCTGAACCTGACAGTTGAGGACGCACACCTGGTTCTATTCCCTCCCAGTGGTGTTACGCTGGCACGCTACCCTAGAAGCACATCATTTCCAACCATAAAGCACCAGTGAGATTTCATCCCATACAAAGTAATTCAGAAAATGGTACAACAGGATTCCTGGGAAGGCACTTGAAGCTAACTAATAAAAAGAAGAGCCTCGGCAGTTAGGAGACTTTTTAAATATACTGCAGGCTCCTTATTCCTGTCCTATTTGCTTACACCACTTAACCTCTTATACTTTTTTTCCCAGTACATTAAATGCTGTTCAAATACAAATTAAGAGATGAAAGATGAGGAACAAGCCCACATCCTGACTGATGAATTAGGGAGAGTAAATCTGCCTCCAAAGTAAGGTTGAGAGAACTAGAAGGAACAACAGAGTAAAGCGAGAGTGGCCCAGGCAGGATTGGGCTGTTGACTTTAAGGAAAAAAAGTTTCATTTTAATTTTCAGATTTCAAAAGTCTAAATGTACTTTGGATAAGTACAAAGAAAATGGTTTCCTTTATTTTTTTTAAAGTCATCTATAAGTTCTGAGTGTTATTTTACTTAATGAGGACAAGGACATTACTATTACTTCAGGGTATAAACTGACAACTTGTAAGATTTGAATTATAGGTTTTGAAGTTAAACAAAAGTGGGCAATATTCTTCAAGTTTAGAAGTTGTGCCTTGGAGGGAAGAGTCAATTAAATTATAAAGATTCAAATGTCTAAAAATCTAAATGCTTTACCTATAATAAATTTGATACTAAAACACCATTCATGTTGTTGAATCGTAGCACTGTCAGCATATGCTCGGTTCTAATAATTCAGTCATTCTAATACTTAGAAGGGACATTTCAGGAAAAATATCCTTATTGATAAGACATTTAGGAAAGACAAGTTTTTGCACTGTTATATCAGTGTTTTACAAAGTTGTACAAAGTGATTTCATTAAAAGGCAAGCAAGAGAGTAATCACTTTCTCCCAGCTCATTAACCAAATAAACCATAAAAATCTTTAAAATGCTATTTTCCCTTATGCAGTCAATACTGAAAGTCACTCATTAAATAAATTCACTATTCAAAAATCAACCTTTACCTTAAATCCCAATAGAAATGTTCTTATTGTGGAAAAATAATCTATTTACTTCCTTCCACTCATACACTGCAATTAGCAATGCTGTTGAGGTTGCGGCTGGACCATGAATGGGATGCTGGATGGTTTGAAAAGCAGTGTCCAAACAGCCCCGCTCCTCGTCCAAAAGATGACTTTTACGTGAACTAGAAAAGGCTGTCCTTTCCTCAAGATACTTTATTGCCAACATTTAGAAAGTTGTGACAATTAGCAATTCTGTGATTGTACCATCAACGGTACCCTTAAGCTGTGCACCATTTTACCCAGAGCTCTCTCAAGTCTCCTTATTGTATTATCTTCTCTTCCTGTACGTATCTTAACTGAATCCACAACATCAGAGCTAAGGTTCCCTTGTAAGACCAGAAAAGGTCCCTCAACAAAACTCTCCATATCACACAATGAGTTAAAGATATCGTATACACGCTACTCGTAATGACAACAGTGATGACCACAGAAGTTCAATACTGCTCTTGATTCTGTCCTCAGCCTAATTTTGAGACCATTAATGCAAGAACCTTGCTCTTTCACACAGAAATGGAACTCGGTAACTGACACAATACAGAAACCTTGCAAGTCATATTAAGAATATACATTCAGTGCTGATGAACGCTTACTGACGATACTATTTAACGGTTAGGAAGCAAAATACCAGGACATAATCATTCCAATCTCAACTTTCCAGATAAAGCATGTGCGTAAGACCATGGCTGGTTTCAGAGAACACCAGAGCTGAGTGCCAGAGAACTCCCAATATCCAGAAATGGTTTTTATTAGCTGTATCAGAACATCATTATCCCAGAAGCCAAGGCCAATATTCTTCCTGTTCACAAATGATTATAATGAGCCATACCATCAGCCGACTACATTGCCAAATATTGTTTAAAATCTATGAAACTCCAAATCCATGGTGAGAAACATCCTCTAAAATTCAAGAATTAAAATGTACAAAAATAAATACCACTCTGACACTCAAGGGACATCTTCACTTTAAGGCCTTTGTCACAAATCTGAATCTTTATTGTTCTGAAATAAATGTTAGAAACATAACTCAAAACAAAAGCTTCAATATTCAGTCTCAGAAGAGGTGTGGCTCAATGCCCATCACATGTAACAAGAAAACTTCCTTTAAAAAAAAGGAAAAAAAAGTACTACGAGAAGTCTTTCATATGAATGAAAATGCACCCTTTGGATTTTTTCTTTGTTTCATTAGCCTGTATACACGTGGGCGCCAAAAGGTTTGCATTTTCTTCACATTAGTTCTTGCTATGATGTTTGACGGATTTTTTGCCACTCAACAAATTCATCGAGAAGAACAGGCCCTAGAATAAAAAAGAAATTTTTGTTAGGATTCAGTGAACTCATCCGTCCAACTACAGAACACACTATCCACAAGCTCTGCATCAGCGCTGAGGATGGACCCTCCGCTGCCCCAGGGGTTTTGCTCCCCATCCCACTGCTGGACTCACTGGTGCTTGCTTCCCTAGTCTTTTCTCTTCAGACAGAAGGGACTTCCCACAATGGGTATTTGCTGCAACTTCCCTCGCAAGGTGAACTCTCTAATAACTAAGTCAAGATTAACCTCTCCCTTTTTCTAAATGCTCACAACATTGTTATTTAATTATTAAGGAATATGCAAAGTGTTCAGTGTAGTATTTCCAGGTTCCCTCACCAAGAAGTCTGTAAGCTTGTTGAAGGGGTGGCCGGTAACAGGACCCAGTAGGAGTCTAAACATGCAGCAGGTGTCTACTCAATAGCCGACCTAAGAACTATTCTACAAAGACATCTGTATAAAGCGGGGGGGTCCAAACTCATTTCCTAACAGAAGTCAGGTAGGCAGTTTAAATGAACTCACTGTTTTCTCTCTCTCTTTTTAAATAGAGGAAAACTCACTGCCAGAAAAAAATATGCTTGCTCTATTTTTCTTAAAACACACAACGTTCCAGTGGTCTCTCTTTTTCTCTCAATTTCACAGACATACCTCCCTACTCTTAAGACAAGCAGCAGATAAGCCCGGTAATAAACAGCAGCTGAAAAGCAAGTGAGCTGTTGGCATAAACTGTGGGCCAGCAAAGTGGGAAGCAAGTCCCAACATGAGCTACTGCTCAGCCTCAGTCACTAATTCCAGGTACAGTTTTGTCAGATTTTCCGATTTTTCAAACAAATCTGGAAGCTTTATTTTTATGCAAAAACTCTTAATTTAAAGGTTGACTCAAAACACACACGAATATATACATCTGCAGGCCACATATAGTCCTTAGGCTGCCAGCTTACTGCTGCAGGTATTGTTTCTAAAAGTATTATTAAATGGTTTACCATTCTGTAGGGAGAGAGAGATATATATAGGGAGAAATAAAGTTAGCCCTTCTTTAAATAAGTCCACATTTCAATTCATGTTTATAGGAATGTGTCTTACCACGTAACCCTTCCCAACACTAACACAACACATGCAACCAAACTGGAGATGGAAATGGAAAACTTGTACCGTTTTAGAGAATGTGGCTTACCTAACTTATCATTACTTCACAGATCTGTTTTAAGACATTCTGCCCTTTCCACTGAAGAATACTGACTGATAACTTGAATGACTGAAAAATATTTTTTTTAAGAGATTTTATTTGAGAGAGAGAGAGAGCACAAGACAGAGCAAGAGCGAGTGGAGGGGGAGGGGCAGAGAGAGAGGGAGAGAATTTCAAGCAGACTCCATGCTGAACATGGAGCCCAACATGGGGCTTGATCCTACAACCCCAAGATCATGACCTAAGCCAAAATCAGGAGTTGGACACTGTAACTGACTGAGCCGCCCAGGCACCCCTGCAGCAAGATTTTATAATATACTGCTCAATCTAAGCTCTTGGTCTACATTCTACACCTGCCTTCCCCACACTTTCCACATTATTAAATAATAAAAGTTACTGCTAGGACGTCTAAATTCTTTATGGCAACGCTATACAAATGTATATTCTCATCTAAGAGTTGTAAGAATTTTATTTTCATAGGAAAACATACTTACAAGCACCATCTTCATCATAGTTACTAAGATCAGCATGGACAGTCCTGCTGAATTCTAATACGTTGTACCACTGATCTTTGTTCATAACACGATACTTTGATTGCTGTAGAAAATGATATAAATATTTTGAATACAGAATAAGCATTATTTATTAGGATTTGACTTCGATAAATCTAGTTATATAACATTTTTTGTGATTTGGTCTTAAAACATTTATTCCTCTTGAAATTACTTGTGCTTCTAAGAGAAGTCTCAGGGACATTTACATGTTAACATTATCCAAGTTACGTTTTCCTTTATCTTTCCTTCATTTTAGAGAGCATGGAAGGTACTAAGCGTAAGGGTAAAACTCGATGTCTACCTATGTATATACTTGTGGAACCACCACTGAACTCAAGATCGACTGCCTACTCTGTACACACTGCGTCCCCTCCTGTTGCCTCTCAGAACACCCCTTCTTCACTGAGCTTTACTGTTCAGCCACATTTTGAAGTTGGCATCTTTGTAGGCAGTACAAAGAGTACTGGCTTGGGTTCAAACCCCACTTCTCCACTTACTTGGGTGACCCTGGGAGCATTATTTAACAACAGAGCCCATTTCTTCATTTGCTGAAGGGGGATAAAACACAATTCAAAAAGTGTTATAAAGATTTAAAGAAACACTGTAGGTCGAACACCCTCTACATAACAAACACTGAAAATATTTAGTTCTCTCAGCTCCCTTTAGCAGTGAATATTTTTACACTCAGTTCTATTTATTTTTGCCCAAAACTACTAATAAGAGGAAGACTGATAACATCCATCAAAAACATCTACTTTGCTAGCCTTCATTATACCCATTTTATTAAGCTTAAAGATTTAAGTGTACATGAAACCCACTTACTTAAGTCCTTTCCATGACATTGCTTCTTTCTTTCTTTTTGTTTTAAAGATTTTATTTATTTATTTGTCAGAGAGAGAGAGAGAGAGGGAACACAAGGAGCCTGATGTGGGACTCGATCCCAGAACCCTGGGATCATGACCTGAGCCGAAGGCAGACGCTTAACCATCCAAGCCACCCAGGCGCCCCATATCACTGCTTCTTATCAGAAGCTTTAAACAAAATTAGTCCAAGGAATTTGCTATGATAATCAGCTTTACAAGAAATCATTTTCAAAGCAAAAAGAAAAAGTATATATACTCCAGAAATGGTGAGTGCCATACTAAAAAAAACTAAAACTGAAAAGGCACAAAAACAGATAGAAAACCAGAGAAAGCAATGGAAAGAAAAGTATCTCAGAACCACTGCTGGCGGTGGGTGCTACGTTAAATCTTCTAAAAGAATACTTTCTCCATGAATTCAGCATACATTCTTTACTCATCACTACATTGCAGTACAGGATTATAGCCATTCTCATATCTGTGGACATAAAATATTTTAATTCTAATTATTTAGATTGAACCTAAGTGAAAAGTAAAGTTTTATTATTACTACAACTGGTTCCCTTATGTAGATTTCAGCCTAAGATCTTGTATTAAAGAAACCTGATTGGATCGCCTGAGTGGGCTCAGTTGGTTAAGCGTCTGCCTTCGGCTCAGGTCATGATCCCAGGGTCCTGGGATCGAGCCCCACATTGGGCTCCTTTCTCAGGGGGGAGTCTGCTTCTCCCTCTGCCTGCCGCTCCCTCTGCTTGTGCTCTCTCTCTGACGAATAAATAAATAAAAAAAACTTAAAAAAAAAAAAAAAGAAACCTGATTTAGAAGCTTGATATTCATATACGAGCATCAACTCTCTTCTGCCAAAAGTCCAAGAAACTAATTCTGCATGAAGAACGTCTTTGCTAAAACGTATTTCTTGAAGGTTACTTTTTTTATGGGAGGGATGCAGGGCTGGAATCCAAGTATCTCATGCACAGAATGTATTAATGAACATGAACCTGTGTCTAAAAATGACAACATGTATGTACACACTTTAACAGAAACTTTTTACTACTTAAGCAGATTTTTTTAAAAGCACAGTATTTAAAAATCTATTTGTCCTTCCTCAACTAAAGGTATATTTTCAATCAGAGTAAGCTTTAAAATCAAAATTTAAATTTAATATTCATCAGATTAATATTTTCAGAAAATGTAAGAACATACACACCTCCAGGTACTGGTAAAATACTGAAAACAATGGCCATGTCCTTCCAAGCAGAAGAGCTAGCATAGACTTAGCAGTATCAATATCAAGGCTTCTCTGATCTTTATCCTAAAACATAAGGAAAAATTCTCCTGAGTATGGTTTCAAGATTAAAAAAAAAAAATGTTAAAATTACAAAACATGGAAATTCCACCTACCCTTGCAAAATCAAAGGCATATCTGTAGATATTCTTAAACGAAGAAATATCATTCAACTGTGAGCGCAAAAAGTCAAATTTGTTCTGTAATTTTTCTGTGCAGTCACACCTTAAATTAAAAAAGCCACATACATTATATAATCCAGAAAATTAAATAAAAGCATCTTTAAGGGGTTAGAAGAAATGCATTAAGAGAAAAGTGAGTGCATTTATGAAATTAACCTAGGTTTAAAATTCTGATTCACAAATGTGGAGTTACTAACAAACTTGTTGCCTTGTATGTACCAGTGGAAAAAAGAAAAAGGAAAAAAAGAGAAAACCTGGCTATCAGTGAAAGTTCAGTTCAATAACTTTCCTTTTAAAAAATACAACTCAATCAAAAAAACTCCAGTAAAATCCCAAATATCTCTTAAGAAGAGGTATATTAAAATGTGCTTTCACCACATGTGAGGTTAAAAAGATGGTAGAACAAAGGAAATCAATCAGGCCTCTGTCATCTATATCATTGAAAAGTTCTCAGGCACCAGCTTGGTGAAAAGAGATAACCATGAGTGGTTTTAAAAGCTTGGGATATAACTCGGAGAAAATAAACACATTATACTAGTGCTTCGGTCATGAATTCAGATTCCTACATTTTTAGTGACAAAAATCAAGGTAAATAGTGGCAGTACCTGACCTCAAATAAGATACACATGCAGAAGAGTGCAAACAAGTTATCCATGTTATTTCTAAAGATCAGACATGAAACATAAAAAGGCAAACAGAATGCTCAAGATCTTCAGGCATCCTGACTCCCTGGGCTGATATGTGCTACACCGCCAAGCATGATTAATGCAGACGGCGCCTCTCACAAGTGGTGCACAGCACATCTCCCCTCCTGCCGCACTCTAGCTGTATCTCACCGACCCTCCCCAAGTGCCACAGCTCTGCTCTAGCACATGGTACTGCCTCTACTCTACTCGAAAGGCGTTCCCTCCAACAGTTTCACAAAATATCCCTCACCAACACCTAACTCACATTTTGCCACTGCTGACAGATCATCGGACTCCCTTCCATTAAATCAGGGTGCCGTCTACTGTGACCCACAGTCTCCCACTCAAAACTGAGTTTTAGTACTCATCATGTCGCAGACATCTAGCATTCTCAGATTTAACAAAGACCTTCACTATTCTAAATCAACAATGTGACATGTGACTCATAATTTTATTAAGGTGTAAATATTTTGGATACATTTCTAACATTGATTAAACCTTGCATTCCTGGAATAAGCCAAACTGGGTAATGTTACCTGTTTCATACATTGCTAGATTTTTTGGCTATGTTCATAAAAGTGACAGGCTTGTCAATTTCATTCTTTCACACTCTTTACTAATTTTGATAACAAGCTCATAGCATAAGCCTCAGAAAAACTAAATGACAATTATTACCCTTTTTTCTGTTTTCTGAAAAAGAAAAAGAATTAGCATTTGTCCAAAATCAGCTGAAAAATCACCTGGGTCTTTTCACCGAGGGAAAGAATTTTTAACTATTCAATCACCGTTTTTAATGGTTATAGGATCATTCAGATTTTCTACTTCTTTTTGAATCAACTGATCATTGACAGTTTTTTGATAATTTATTTCACATATAATCTTACTTAAAGATGAGTAAATTTGTAACAGTTCTGGTGGATATTACTGCTTGGATTACCCACTTGTAAACGGTGCCTCGACAAGACGGTTTGAGAAGACTGCAAGGGTAAGTTTACTAGGTTGAAGAGACTGAGAGGAGGCTTTGGAGAAAACAAGTAAAGGTGACCCTTGAACAACACGGGTCTGAACCGTGCAGGTCCACTTACATTTTCTTTTCTCTAGTTTACTTTATTGCAAGACTGTAGTATGTAAGGCCTTTAACATAAAAAGTATGTGCTATTTGACTGCTCATGTTATGGGTGAGGCTTCTAATCAACAGTAGGCTATTAGTAAATTAAGTTTCAGGGAAGTCAGAAGTTACACACGGATGTCTGACTACAGGAACTCCCACTCCTGCTAACAGTGATGAGGACTTCCCTCAGACTCCTGCTGAGGTGCTGTCGGAGGCAGCTAGCTAAAACAGAATGTTTACATAAGATCCAGAGTTTTAGAACATTATACTCAAAATTTCCAGGTTTCAGTAAAAAATCCCCCATTGTTCAAGGGTCAACTGTATAGACAAATGCTGCCAAAGAATTTGGTTCTAAAAAGGAGCAGAGAAAAGCGACACTTAACTAGTGTGGGATGGAGGGGGACAGAAGGTTCGTTTTTCTTTATTAGACAAATAACTTCTGCTTTCAGGAAGATGAAGTAAATGTATTTTTTCCCTGTGTCTCCTGCTAATTCAACTAAAAGCCCTGGACATTAGCTATAAAACAAACATAAGACTGGAAGAATCTGAAAGACTCTGAGGAACAACACAGTGGTGAGTTTCCCGGGGTTTTTTTTTGCCTTATCTACCCTAGACCTGGATATGAAGGAGTCAGCAAACCAGAATGCCAATGAGGTAGACAAAAACAAACAAAATACAACAAAAACCTGCTCTCCCTCCTGCAAAAATCAAGCAGCCAAGCAAGAAAGAAAACTTTGAGAAAAAACACTCCTCTATTCAACCACCACAGAAAAAACTGGTTCCACGCCCACCTACATCAGCAAAGATTGGAAGGAGGACTTCAACAGTCCACCCTCACCAGGATGTGGGAAGGCCCTCCCTTTCACCTCCCGCACTATCAGTGGAAACCACAGAAAAGCATGAATTTCCACTCCAGCAGGTAGTAAGGAGCAGTGTCCTGGGGCAGTGTCTGCAGAGACCCCGTGGGGTGTGGAACTCTCACGCCTGCCAACAGCAATGAAGGATTCCCTCCTCCTGCTGAGGTGGTGGTAGAGAAAGGTAGCTAAAATAGAAGGTTTAAATAAAATCCAGAGTTTCGTAACATAATCCTCAGTATTTTCAGGTTCCAGTAAAAAAAAAAGCACTTGTCATACCAACAACCAAGATGTCAAGCAGAATGTAAAAAGAGCCAATATGTGCAACTACTGAAATGACAAGAAATATTTAAAATGTTTAAAATGATTTGCAGATTTTAAAGCAGCTATTATGAAACTGCTTCAATAAGCAATTATGGACAAAGTAAAACAAATGAAAAGATAGAAAGTCTCAGCAAAGAAACAGAAAGTCTAAGAAAAGAAATGTAACATAAAAAAGAACCAAATGGAAATTTCTGAACTATAAAATACAGGGCAGACTTAAACCTTAGTGTATCAATAATTATATCAAATGTAAGTTGTCTAAATGTACCAATTAGAAGACAGAGATTGAAAGAATGGATCAAAAAGACCCACAAAACCAAAATTACCCAACGATATGCTATCTAGAAGAAAAAGATTTCAAATATAATATAGGCAGATTAAAAGTAAAAGAACGAAAAGTAACACATCATGGAAACATTAACCAAAAGAAAGGAGGGGTAGCTTTATTAATAACAGCTAATGTAGATTTCAGAGCAAAGAAAATGACCAGACCAGAGAGGAACATGATAAAAAGGTTGATCCAGCGGCGCCTAGGAGGCTCAGTGGGTTAAGCGTCTGCCTTTGGCTCACGTCATGATCCCCGGGTCCTGGGATTGAGCCCCACCAGCTTCTTCCTCTCCCCCTCTCCCTGCCGCTCCCCCTGCTTGTGCTCTGTCAAATAAATAAGTAAAATCTTAAAAAAAAAAAAAAAAGTCAATCCATCAAGGAGACATAACAATTCTAAACGTGTGCGCACCAAGCAAAAGAACTGCAAAATATGTGAAGCATAAACTTATAGAAAAGAAGAAACAAATATACAATTATTGTTAGAAATTTCAACACCCCTCTGCCAACAACAGATAGAACTAGACACAACATCAGCAAACATAAGAATTCAACACCATCAGCTAACAAGATCTAATGGACACTAATTGAACATGCCAATGAATGACAATAAAATATGTGTTCAAGTGTCCACACAACATAAACCATGAGAGACCACAGCCTGAGCCATTAAGAAAACCCTGACAAATATGTAAGAACTGAAATCACACAGGGTATGTTCTCTGACTACAATGAAACCAAACTAGAAATAGCAGGAAGATAACAGCAAAATCTCCTTAGAAACTAAACAGACTCTTAAATTATCTGTGGGTGAGAGCAAGTCTCAACGGAAACCAAAAAATATGCTGACCTGAATGAATATAAGAACACAAGTCAAATTTCCTGAGACACAAAGCAGTACTGAGGGAGAAATTCATACAACTAAATGTAAATATTAGAAAAGAGGAAAAATATTCTCAATTCATAATCTACCTATCTTCAGAATCTAGAAAAAGAAGAGCAAAATAAACCTAAAGCAAGCAGGAGAAAGTAAATTAAGAGCAGAAATCAGTAAGATTAAAAACAGAAAAACAAGAGAAAAATCAATGAAACAAAGAGCGGATTCTTTGGAAAAAAGTCAATAAAACAGACAACTCTCCAGCAAGAATGACAAAGAAAAAGAATACAAAAATCCCCACTGTCAGGAATGAAACAAAAGATGCCATGATAGTCCTGTAGATATTAAAAGGATATAAATTTGACCACTTAAGACGAAACGGACCAGTTCTTTGAAAAACAAAACACAACACACTAACAACACAAAATAAATAATCTGATAAAATGATCTGAAATAAATAGTAATTTGAGTGGCCCTTTATTAAAAAAAATTTCAAAATTTCAAAACTTCTAAAAAATAAATCTGTAGGTTCCAGCAGTTTCACTGGAAAATGCTACCAATCTCTGAAGCCCAATTCTATGCTGTATCTTCCAAAAAATAAAATAAAAGGAAAAACTCTCTAATTCCTTTTATAAAGCCAGATTTACCTTGACATCAAAACCAATTAAGGCAGTATAAAAAAAAAAGAAAATCACAAGAAAAAATTTTAACCATGTATGATGATGGATGTTAACTAGACTTACTGTTGTGATCATTTCCCAAAACAACAAATATTGAATACGTTATGTTATACACCCGAAATGAACAATGTTATGTCAATTATACCCCAAGAAATAAGAAAAAGAAAATAACAGACCAATATCTCAT